CCATTTTTTTTCGGAAAATGCCAAAAACATGGCATATTTCTCTTTGACAATGCCAACATTTTTATTCTGTCATCTTAAATCATTCTGAATTATGCCAAAAATATGAAATTCATAATAAATTTGGCATTTTTTCCCCAAATGACTGGAGGTGGCGGTGCTGGAGCGGCAGAGGCGGCAATGACAAAAAAAATTTTGATTTTTTTTTAAATTTTTTTTTATTTTTTATTTTAAATTTTTTTAATTTATTATTATTCAAAATATTTTTATTAATTTTTTGGTATATTTTACGATTTTTTATTATTTTTTATTATTTTATTATGAATTAAAACATTCCAATAGGTATAAGGGTATATTTGTCCAAGACACACATAATTAGTCCTATGGAAACATAGTTTATTTTTCGGTCATATTTTATGTGCAAAGTGAATGACTTTTAGTCATATTTTGATAATTAACTCTTTATAATAAAAGAGTTCAAGATACCTCAAGATTCCTACTATAATTAGACAACCTAATTAATATTATTAAATACATTATTACACCTCCTCAAGTTGTGTAGGGGAAACAATGTGCGGATTGTCTCGAAGAGAAGTAAAGCGCTGTGGAGATAGACACTTCGTGAAGATATCTGCCAACTGAAGCTGAGTAGGAACAAACTTGACCTGTAAATCACCATGGGCCACCCGTTCACGAACAAAACGATAATCAATATTAATGTGTTTGCTGCGAGCATGTTGAATAGGATTCGCGGATAAGTAAAAAGCAGAAACATTATCACATAAGAGCTGAACAGGTTTGTCGATGGAGATGCCCAATTCGAACAGAATAGAACGGATGTGAAGAGTATCCTGAACAGTGTAGGCAATGGCGCGATATTTTGCCTCCGTAGAAGATCTGGAAACCGTAATCTATTTCTTGGACTTCCAGGACATCAAATTTGGACCAAAAAAGATAGCAAACCCAGACGTAGACATGCTGCGGTCTGGACATCCTCCCCAATCAGCATCTGAGTAAGCCAGTATAGTGGGTGCTGTAGAACTCGGCCGAAGAAGTAGCCCAAAATCAGACGTCCCTTGTAAATACCTGAAAGTACGCTTAAAAGCCAAAAAATGTGTAGTACGGGGAGCATGCATAAATTGAGAAATCAGGTGAACAACATAAGTAATATCAGGTCGAGTCATGGTTAAATATTGTAGTGCTCCTATCATACTCCGATACTCAGTGGGATCTGCTAACATATCACCATCAGTTAGCGAAAACTTGGTACGAGTGGGAAGAGGAGTTCGAACAGGCTTGAGAGTATGAAGATGAAATCGGAGTAACAAATCATAAACATATTTTGTTGGGAAACAAAAAGACCACGAGGAGTATAGAGCGCTTGAACTCCTAGAAAAAAATTCAAGTCACCCATATCTTTCATAGCAAAGGATTTATCAAGACGGGATATAAAGGAATTAATGAAAGATGGGGAATTACCTGTAACAACAATGTCGTCAACACAGAGAAGAAGATAAATAATATGTGCGCCATGTCTAAATAAACAAGGAATTATCTGATCGACTACAAATAAATCCATGCATCAAAAGAAAGCTACTCAAACGATAAAACCAGGCATGCAGTGCTTGTTTAAGCCCATAGATTGATTTGCGAAGACGACACACATAATGAGGAAACTGAGGATGAACAAACTCAGGGGGCTGACGCATATAAACCTCCTCCATAAGGTGACCATGAAGAAATGCATTTTTAACATCCAACTGGCGGATTTGCCAACCAAATGAGACAACTAAGGTAAGAACAAGACGGACTGTCGCGGGCTTGACGACTGGCGTCGACGACTGCTTGTTTCTTCTTTGGGGGCCCCCAGATCTTCTTCTTCTTCTTGCCCGGAGCCACACTCAGAGGTTCCGGATTGAGTGGCCTGGAGCTTCCGGCCTCGGTGTCATTACGAGCAGGCGGGAAAGCAATGGTGACCTTCATCCTCTCCTTTTCCTCCCCCTTCTCGGCCACTTGAACTGCGAGGGCCAGCTCCTCGTCCTCATTCACTTGCTCGAAATCTTCGGCCTCCAACTCGACCCGAAGGGCGTTTTGTACCTCCTCGGCTACCACATGGTCGTTGTTGGCCGATAGCGTCTCACTCGAGGACTCCACCTCGGATATGCTCTCGGACTGCACCGAAGGCTCCTTGGAGATGTCTTGAGAATCGCTTTGCGAAGACATGTCCGGAGACTAGAACTGAGGGGTTTAGAGAAGAGGGCTCCCTAGATGGCTCTAACACTTAATCTAAGAACAACAAAGCTAAATGTGCTAAGGAAACGAAGAACAGATGAAGAACTGACCTTGGAGATTAGGGTTTGATCGAGGGCAAGAGTTTATCTCTCTAGAAATTTTGGCAGAGCTCCGCTATTACTCAATATCGCACAAGAGGAATGAGGTCTGGCCTTGGGGTATTTATAGGCTTCCAACCTCAAAGAACGGGCCTCGATTTGAAAAGCCCGTCATTACGGGCCGCCGGTTCAACCAATGGATGGCTCCCGCCCACCTTCAGCCAACGGCAGCCTGCCACGTCGACCCCTCCTCCAACGGCTCTTTTCCAACGACTCTATTTTGGAAACCATTGAGGCAACCTCAGATGATAGCCTCCGGCCATCACTTACCAAGGCCTTTGGTGAACAACTTCTACCAAGTGCTCTCGAGCAAGCATCTTTACAAGCCTTCAGCTTGTCAATGTTGCCACTCACCAGAATATAATTGGACGATAGCCTCCGACTATCATCCACAGGAGCCTCCGGTGAACATATGTCACCTGACACCCCCGAGCAAGCAGCAGTATAAGCCTTCGGCTTATCAATGTTGCCACTCGTCGGTCAATGACGCCCCTCGGGGTCGCATGCAAACATCATGACTCCTTCAGTCCGAACCTCCCTTCAGTCTAAAGGAGTGGGGGATTGGGATACACCCCTCGGGAATCACACAGGACAACATATCCACATGCAAAAATTTACAAGTGACACATGCAGCCTCCGGGAAAACATCAAAGGAGAACCCATCGGGTACATGCTTCCATATACCCTTCGGCAGAAGCAAAATATCGAAAATTTCCCCAAGTCACTGACAATGATGGAGCAGCCTTCACCACAACACATACAGGCAACTCATCTGCACTTCCCTCAGAAAACCCTCGACATGTGGGGGACTGAGGGGAAGCCCTCGGCAAATACCAGTGAAGCTCTCCGGTAAAGCGCAGCCTTCGGCAGAGCCAGCGCGACAACACAATTACTCCTTTTCCCTCGAGTACCTCTCGGCAAAAGGAGTGGGGGACTCCTGATGGAGTATATGGCCCAGGGACCCCCGGCCCATAGACTCCTACTTCTCCTACACAGGCCCATTGAGCCCAAGGAGCATTCGAGGCTCAAATACAGCGGCCCAAGTCTCAAAGAAGCCCAAAATACGCACTGGGGTGCCTTCGGCCTTCTTGGACGAGGGCTCCAAATCTCACAGGGCTGCCGGTTTCAAGCATACGAAGCTACTGGGAGAAAACGGCGTAAAACAGTAGCCCTCGGCTACCAGATGCCTTCGGCATCAGGGAAGCCTTCGGCACTCCCATGCCCTCAGCTACCCAAAGCCCTCGGCCGAAGGGGGAGCATTCGGCCAACAACTCAATCATCGAAGATTCCCTTTGGAGACAAGCAACCACCGCATTTAATGCGACGTCACATCCACCCACCGCATTCAATGCGGTGCACATGCGATTGCCAGTGCCACCTGATTGAGGTGACCCCTCGGCCGTTAGATTATCGCCATATGTACTCTCATCGCATTTATTGCTGCTATAAATAGCAGCCCCTTTCCCCATTGTAAAGGGCCAGAACATCTCGAGTTCATAATATAATCTCCTCTCTCTCTCCTACTTGTTTGCTCTGACTTCTCTCTAGGTTATTCCCGTAATAACCCCTCGGATAAGCTACCCCCGGGTACACTGTCCATCAGGGACTAAGAAGCTGTTCTCTTCGTCTGATCTGAATGTTTCTGATCTGAATTTATTAAGTTCTGATCTGATCTGATCCGAATCTTTCTGATCTGATCTGAATCCTTCTGATCTGATCTGAATCTTTCTGATCTGATCTGAATATTTCTTTAATTATAATTATAATTATTATAATTATTATTGTAATTATAAATATAATTTAAATATAATTTATAATTATAGTCTTAATTCTAAATAAATTTAATTATAATTATCATCATAATTATAATTATAATTAAAGTTATAAAAATTATACATACTACACTGCTTATAATTATAGTTATAATTATAATTGTAATTATATTTTTAATTATAATTATTTCTATAAATATAATTGTAATTATAATTATAATTACTTTGTATAATAATAAAAATAAATAATAATAATATTAACAATTATTATAATAATAATATGGAGTAATAATAATAATAATAGTCATCACCTCAATAATAATCATAATATTAATAATCATAATAATAATTATTGTTATTATTACTATTATTATTATTATTATTATTATTTATAATAATAAAAGTGATAAATCATGTTTGAAATTTTCTGATCTGATCTGATCTGAATGCTTCTAATCTGATCTGAATCTCTCTGATCTGGTCTGATCTGATCTGAATCTTTCTGATCTGATCTGATCTGATTTGAATTTTTCTGATCTGATCTGAATAAAATAAGAATAAGCAATAAGTAATACTCCCTCTGCCCCAATTTGTTTTGCAAAGTCAACAATTTTTGGTCAACCAATAATAGAAGTCAACCCTCCGTATGGATAATTAATTCAGTTTTTTATAATTAAAATTTACATATTCAAAAATTATATTAAAATCTCTTCAAAGTTGTAAAATCGAAATTAGAATATAATTAAAAATTGACATCCTAATTAAGTGAACAAAACGAGACTGTTTGACTAAGAAAAGTCAAATTTGCAACACTTGTTGAGACGGAGGTAATAAGTACGGAGTAACAAGAGTAAGAATAAGAACATCTTCTATACGCGTCTCAGCCTGGGAAAAACTCTATTTTACGGATGAATGAATGACGAGAGCCGGCGTTAGGTTTTGTTTTGTGATCGGTGGGGATGGATATATGCGCCGGCAAAGCAGCAGCGGCAACGGAAAGGATGCATCAGCGCCACGCCCGAAAAGCTGCTGTCCTCCTTGCCATCATCCCCCTTCTCATCTCCACAGTCGAATCGCATGTACGCAATTCTCCACTATACATTGTTCCATCTCTACTCTGTTTTTTTTGTCTTTATAAGTGATGATTCCGATCTTTGCTGGAATGGATGACAGGTTGGTTGCAGTACAAGGTGTATTGCGGAAAACTGCAATTGTATTTCTTCCTTCCCTTCATCCTATTCCCATTTACTTAATTTTTTATCACTGAGAAAATTTTAGGGCATTTCAAATTTTACTTATTTTACTATACGCTACAGCCATTGGAATTAAATACGGCAAGTATTGTGGAGTTGGCTGGACTGGTTGTCCAGGGGAGAAACCTTGCGATGATCTTGACGCATGTTGCAAAATTCACGATCACTGTGTAGACAAAGCGGGTATATACATTTGCTTTCCCACATTTGTTTTTTATTAAAGAAACAGCTGAGGTATTATTACTTTAAGGTTGGATTCATAGGATGATGCAGCAAAGTGTCCAGTTTCTCTCATTTCTACTCTTTTTTTATGCATGAAATGTAAATATCTCATTTTCTCTTAAACATACATGATGGTGCTGTTACTTCTTACTACACTGAATTTACCTTCTTTGTTGTTCTTTCAATATCAGGACATCAAGCGCTTGCCTTAAAATGAAATTTGCTTTTGATCAACAAATACAAAGATATAAAGTAGCGATCATGTCAGGCTGACAGGACTCGCAGTCTGGTCGAGCCTGTTTGGGGCCCCTTCAGGTAGAATTTTTTATGAAATTTTTAAGTATGTTCATCAAATCTAGTTTATACCTACCAAGTTTCAGCTTAAAATTCAACCGAGAAGACAATCAAATAAATTATTTACAAACACTGCACTTTATATATATAAACTACGCAATAATTTTCAATTCTACATTTGACTAACTTCTCAATTGAATTTTTAGCTGAAATTTGGTGAATATAAACTAGACTTGATGAAGGACATGCTCATAACATTTCATCAAAAAGTTCCATAGGGAAGAATCCCGAATGGCCCCGGTCAAAGACGGCGGTTCCCGTCAGGGTGGCTGGACATGAATGGTACTCTCTCTCTCTATATAAAGGATCAAATAAATCCCCCTCCTAATTTACAAATTACAAACTCATCTTGGCTATTAGATGTGTTGATCTAAAGGTTATAAAAGCACGGTGAAAATTTTGTAATAAAAGCCAACTTGTATAGGATGCAACTCTTTGAACGTTAATATGCAACTACTAATTTGTGACTGAATAATATGCAACACTTTGACCCTCAATATGCAATACAAACGTTTGCACAATAATCACGGTTTGTATGTGATCCGCCCAAGGTTGTCAAAGTCGAGCGCCTGGGCGCTTAAGCGCACCAGGCGCAGCGCACAGAAGCCTCAGCGCTGGAAGAACGATCAGGCGCACCCCCCAGCCTAAGGCGCAGCTTAGGCGCAAAAGCGCTGAAGCGCAACTGCAATAAAAAGCGCTCGCTGTTTGCGCCTGATAGGGGAACACGTTTTTTAAGTTTAATAAGAAGCCTTTTTTTTTTAATAAAGCCCGTCTAAATAAGGTCAAAACAAAATATACCTACGCAAAACAACACACCTACGCTAAACAACACACCTGTCAAAATATACCTATTCGCTCCTCCTCCTGTCCTCCACATCAACTGCATAAGTTGGCAGCAGTAAGCTTTCTTCTCCATCGTTCTATTTTCTTTCTTTTTTCTTTTTTCTTTTTTCAGTATCTACTCATATACTCTATACAACTCGAAAATATATATGTAAACTACCAGTATAATGGTCTGTCATGTGCAACAACACTCTTCATTGTGCCATTTTCTTTGTTCTTTACTTTTTCAGCATCCTTCTTATATAGTTTATACTCTATTACTCTAGATACCTAAAATCTAATTATGTTTTATTTTTCAGTTTGAAAGTTTAAGACTTTAAGTTATGAATTCTGAATTTGGTTGTTTTACTTTTGTGAATCATGAACTTTTTTGGTTAATCATGACTTTATTTTGGTGAAACATGACTCTTTTTGTGAGAAACCTGACTTTTTTATGTAGTTAGTTCAATATGGTGGTATATACATCATGTTTTATTATTGAAGAAGAGTATATGTGATACTTTCTAAGCAATGCGCCTGACACGAGTCAGGCGAGCGCTTTTTTGCTCCTTGCGCCTCAGGCGCTGGGAATACCCTATCGCCTTGAATGCGCCCCACGACTTTGAATACCTTGGATCCGCCCCTATATAAATATATATAGATAATGGATCAAATATAAACACATCCTAATTTACAAACTACAAACTCATCTTGGTCATCCGATGAGTTGATCTAAAGGCTATAGACGCACGGTCGCACTTCGGTAATAAAACCAAACTTTTTTGGATGCGGCACTTTGTGCGTTAATATACAACTGCTTATTTCATTGCAGAATAATATGCAACACTTTGAACGTTAATATGCAATACAATTAGTGTGAAGATCAGCATACAAATATTTACACATTAAGCAGTAGTGTACCTGATCTGTCCCATTATACTAGTTGTATGACGCGCGTTGCGCGGGGGGAAAATGCCCAATTTTTTTTGACAAGATTGACATAATGGATTGTTAGTAATAATAATATCATTAATTATAAATAAGAATAAGAATAACAATAATAATAATAAATAACTATAATAATATTGATAATAATGCTAATAATTACGTAGTATAATAATATTTAAAATAGTTAATATTGGTAACAATAACAAATATAATTATAACAATAATAATTAAAAGGTAATAAATCATGTTTAAAATTTTCTAATTTTGAATGTACTTTTACAAACTTGACATTATCTAAATCTTTTAGATTTGATCCGATCTGAATTTATCTGATAGGATTTGATCAAGTTTTTTTTATTCGATCTATTCTGAATAAAATAAGAATAAGATGAACAATACAACTTCTAAGAAAAAGATGTTGCCAAATCTTTGTGGCCACAAAAGATTAATAACTAAGGTTTTTTTTGAAGTAATGGCTTTCGCTGTTTCGCAATCTCTGCCAAAATCTTGTTAGGTATTGGCAAGGTTTAAAAAGGCGGGTTCGGGTATCAAGGCGGTTTGTTCCTAAGAGGGCGTAAGCCTTGAGGTGTAAGCCTCAAAATATACAGATATATTAAACTTAAAATAGTTAAACTGGTAGCTCTTTTCTTTAAGAATGTTCCTAGTAGCTCCCATAGCAATACCAAGGCCTTGAGAACTACTAGGTGTAGCAGTAGCACCAAGACATCTTTTTTTAAACCACTAACTATTAAACTAAATCTACACAAAAGTATTATAAATAACATGACTATCAAGGAAGCAAAGTGAAACCTTTACCAGTTAGAAAACATGAACAACAGTTCTCTAAAGGAAGGGATAAGAAGCAGTGAAGGAGAAGAAGTGAAGAAGAGGAGTTGAATAAGAATAGAGGAGCAAAATATGGGGAAGAAGAAGAAGAGAGCAGAAAAGAAGTTACCTGCAAGCTATGTATGAAAGTATGCAGGAAAGTAGAGAGTTCTTTGTGCAGGTGTTTAGAAAGTTTACGTTAGGGACTTAGGGTTTAAATGAATAAAAGACTTGCTAGGATTTAAACGAAATCAGACTTGTTAGGATTTAAATTAAATAAGACTTGTTAGGGTTTAGTATATGGATTTCTATTTAAAAAGTACTCTGGGCTTTTTTAAGATACTACACAAGTGCTCTTCACCTCTATAAACGCCTCAAGGCACGCCTCAACCTCTGAGGCGTAAGCCTCTTCACCTACAAAAAACCTAAGCCCCGATACCCAAACAGTACGTCTGACCTTGAGGAGCGCCTCAAAACCGCCTCTTAGGATGTTATTACTTGGACTGAAATTTGCTGGTTTGGTCTGATTTGGTCTGTTTAAGTCTGGTCTGGTCAAGTTGGTCTGAACTAGTTTGGTCTAATCTGGTCTGGTAAATGTTTGGTAAATGTTTGGTCTCTGTGTATTTTATTACTAAGGAAGTCTGGTCTGATCTGTTTAAGTCTGGTCTGGTCTGGGATTGAAAACATCCTTAGCCATTTCATTCATAAAATCTTACATAAAATTGTATTTTAATGCTTTAAAATGCCCTAATAATCATTGGTGCTTATAAGTTTTTAAAGTAATCGCTTTCGCTGTTTCGCAATCTCAGTTGAAATCTTGCTTGATATTGGTCATTTCATTCAAAAAAAACTTACATAAAAAAGATACCATCTACTACGTATAATAAGGAATGTAAAATAAATTAGGACATTAAGTGGAAATCAAATCAATCAATTGTATAGAATAATTAAAATGTGAAGGCCACATGATATAGAATATTGGAAACTCAAAAGTTGGTGTTAACGGAGGTAGGGGGAAGTAGATTTAATGATGGAAGTGTACAATGACTAAAATAAATTGTACAAGTGCATCATGCTTTAATGTTACACCAACATTTTTATAATTCCTAAAATGTCCTAATCATCATTGGTGCTTATAAGTTTATATATACATATGGCAGATCATATTAGGCCGGCCTGACGGGAACCGCTGTTAGGTCGAAGCCATTTGGAGTCCTTCCCGATAAAATTTTTTGAGCATGTTATTCATCAAGTTTAGTTTAGGCCACCAAATTTCAGCTACAAATTCAATCAGGAAGGCAATAAAATAAATTCTTTTACAAAAATTGCGCTTTATATATATAAACATAGCAGTTTTGATAAAGAATCTATTTAATTGCCTTTCCGATTGAATTTTAAGCTGAAATTGGGTGGCCATAAATTAGATTTGATGAAGAACATGCTAAAAAAATCATCAAAATGTTCCACCGGGAAGGGTCTCAAATGGCCTCGGCCAGACGGCAAATCATGTCAAGCCGGTGTGACAGGATCGCTAATATATACCTGTTATTTTTAAAAGGTGCGATTTTCTATCAAGGAAAAGGAATACCATAAAAAAGAAAAACTTGAAAACCCAAAGTTTCTGAAACCCTTATTACTTAGGGAAAAGGGTTTCCTAATTCTTCTTACATGGCCCTGGAATGGGAATTTCAAGTTTATGAGTTTTTGAAACAGGGAAGCGTGAGCTGGGGCGAAACCCTATTTATTTTTGCTTGCTCACTTGAAAAATGAGTGAGTTATTATTGGCAACTTCGCCTTTTTCTTATAGCTCAAACCCTAAAATGCTGCAGGATATGTGCTGTCTGTGTTAGTTAGCTTGTCATTGCCAACCTGCTCTAGTTATTCTGTTTGAGTTGCATGTTCATCTATGTTCAATGTTTCCCTGTAATTCTGTAAATGTGTAAAATCACCATTACCAATTAGTTTCTTCTGCACATGTGCAACTTTTGAAAATGGTGTTTGCATTCCTATAACATCTTTCCCTTTTTAGTTTTATGCTTCTTCTAATTCACTCCTGTGTCCCTTTATTATTTCCTCATTTGACTTGGCACAATTTTAAGAATGTGGAACTGGGGAAACTCTGTTGTTCACATGTAGAGTTTATTTAGAAGAGACAGAAACAATGCCAACAACATTAATCTTTCTTAAAAAGGAGAGAGGAGATAAATCATCATCATCATTATCCTAGTGTCGCAAAGGCTCCCCACCTATGGAGGGGTAAAGAGGGGTCGGATGTACGCAGCCTTACCCATGTACTAAAGCAGAGAGACTATTTCCTGAGGAGATAAATTATGGACAGACAAAATTAAAAAAAATGAAGATAAAAGGGGGTCATATGGAGTATTAGTTTTGGTTGTTAAACCATACCCTGGTAATGATGATGCACCTTCCACAACACTGATAATGTGGTTTCTTTCAAGGAGAATGCATTCTATGACAGTTGGTAAGTTTGATTTCATCTTCTTTTTTCATGATATGCCTCAAACTTTGATCAGGTATGACAAATGTCAAATGCCATGAGAAGTTCATGAAGTGCATAAAGAAAGTGCAGAAGTCAGGAAAGGTAGGATTTTCAAGAAATTGCCCCTACGACACAGCCGTGCCAACAATGGTACAAGGTATGGAAATGGCCATTATGTTTAGTCAGTTGGGAAACTCAAAAGTTGAGCTATGATTAGCTTTTGCATTGCCTGCCCCCCACTTGTTAGATAAAGGTGATAAATATACTAATTTCCATTCCTTCAAGCCTCATTTCTTGTAGTGACTTAAAGGTGATAAATATACTAATTTCCATTCCTTCAAGCCTCATTTCTTGTAGTGACTTGAATTTGAAAGTTCGTGTCAAGGGTTTGTTGTTGCCTACTTCAATTCTGAAACTCCAACACCAATCTCCATTAGTACAATAGTTGTTCTGTTCGAACTTTTTTTTATTGTCTGGATTTATCTTCTTGCTCTAAAAACTATAGCTTAGTTGGATCTGAACACTATGGTGTAGTTTTGTGAGAGTAAATGAGTAATAAACAAAAGTAAGCATCCATTGTTATTGTAGTCTTTAATGGTTAAATACAATGTTTTTACTTGGACTGTTTATAGTCCTAGACTAGACCAGAGCATACTACTAAACTTCAACACATCACAACAGACCATACTTGGACAGTTATAAAATACACGACATTTACCAGACCAGTTCAGATCAGAGCAGATCAGACAAGACTTAAATAGACCAGATCAGACAAGAAAATTTCAGTATAATTAAAAACATCCTTACATTCAAAATCTAATTTTTTTTACCCACACTTTAGTCCACCATGAATATAGAGCTTCCCAATCTTAGAATAAACGGTCAGGATTTTGTCATTAAAGATAGGCTAAATGGTCAAATAGGTCCTCGAACTAACATAAAAAGTGAAATTCACCTCTTATAAAGGAGCCTTTGCCCGGCCGTCACCAATTGGGGCGGTTCCCGATGAATTTTTTTAATGAATTTTTTTGAACATCTTTATTAATTAAGTCTAGTTTACCTATACCAAATTTCAAATAAAAATTCAACCGGGAAGACAGTCAAATGATTTTCTGAAATGTAAACTAGACTGCCTTCCCGATTGAATTTTTAGCTTAAATTTGGTATGAGTAAACTAGACTTAATGAAGAAGATGCTAAAAAAAATCATTAAAAAATTCTATGCGGAACCGCCCCAATTGGCGATGGCCGAACAAAGCCTCCTATATAAGGGGTGAATTGCACTTTTTAAGTTAATTCGAGAGGGCCTATTTGACCCCTTTAGCAAAAAGGCCGTGTTCCATAACTTCCATTAACATGCTCATCATTGGAATGGCTTTAAAATGTGCAACCCTGGATAGTTTGACAATTCAGTCTTTTTGTCGTGTGTGACACACTCCATGTGTGTTGAGAAAATAATAGGGAGAATACCTAATATAGCTTCGTTTGGTCTTGTCAAATTTTACTACAATTAGTGGATTATATTTAAATCATGTCCGAGAAATTATTACTAAATGTAGTGGTGTCTTCTATGGATTTTAATAGAGTTTAGAATTCTATTTAAACTAGTATTGTACCCATGCGATGCACGGGGCAATAATGTACTTGTGTTGTTATGTTTTTTAGTTATTTAAATATGCTCCTAGTAATATAATTAATTTGAATAAAAGTGTGAGTAAATATAATATACAAATAACCAAACTAATTCAAATACTAACTTGTAGATGTGTACAAGATAATTTATAATTGTTTCACAACATATGTTAACCATCTAATTATTTTATTTAGCTATAATAATAATAATTAGTTATACTAAATTACTAATAATTTTTATGAACACTCAAAAGAGTGCACAAAGTGAACACTTTTAATACATTTTAAGTATAATTTTTTCATATTTTCGTAAATTTGAGCAATCAGCTAATGCAGTCAAAAGTACACCAATTTCACCAAATTCAACAGATTCAATCAATTTTAATATTATCAAACATGTTTTGTTTCTCAATTACATGTTTCCCCACCAAATTAGATCCAAGAATTTTCATATCCAAATTTCAATTTCCATTTTGACATCTCCTTAAATTCTCTTTCAGGAACTTGTAACTTTTTAAGTGTTATTTAAATAACTTTTTATAAAATACATTCGATTTCAAATTCCCAAATAAACTACGTAGTACTCTATGTGACACTGTGTTACAACTTACAAGTACAACATGTGATTCCAAAAGAAGAAAAAGTAAACTTCTGAACCCCGGCCCCCCATATTGCCACCCCCTACCATTCTGACTTAGACCTCATTTGATAACACGGAAATGGGATGATTTTTTTTTTATTTTGCTGAATTAAAAAAAATTTAAAATATATTTTATTAATAAAATAAAGAAAAAGTTGTATGACAAATAGTTAAAATGCTTATCTACAATAACTTCAATCAATCTAGCTAAAAAAAATAAATTCAACCTTACTTATTTTGATTAATTACACAACTTGACGTGCGAAATCAAAAGTTACATGTGTTGGGAGGAAAGTTAGTTGATAAGAGCATTTCCATCTATGCTTCTCAAATATTCGGGTTTTTATGTTTTTTTTCAACAGATCTCAAGTTTTACTTTTGATTCATTTGCACATGCATCAGACATCACCAGATCAATAAAAAGATCCGAGATTTGAAATCCTTAAATTAGATCTAAAAAGTTAATGTTTTTTTCCCCAAAAAACATTAACTTACACACTTTCACAAATCACACTCGAAAATATATATTCAATCATTTGCTATCCTTTTAATATCTAAAATATATATTTAAGTACAACTATTTTTGTATTCACATTAGACCTATATATACATTGTTTTTATCCACCTTTTAGATATTCATACATAAACTCAATGCCAAACCATTTTTAGGTTTTATGACATTTTCATACTCCCTCTATTCTAGGACAAAAAAAAATGAATAACCCAATCCACCAACAATCTCCCCTTAGATTTCCAAATCCATTATATGGTCCTCGGCAGTCCTATTCATGACGATTAGTTTCATCTGTATAATACTCCCCCCTTCCGTCTTCATTCATCTGGTAACATTGGTGTTCAGTGCTCTTCAATCCTTCAACTACACTTCCCTCCATCAATTAATTTCATATGTATAATACTTCTATGTATTACTTCGTATACATAGTTTTCGTTGCTACCAGCTCTGTTTGATAATGGATGCTTTATTTGATGAGGATATAGATTTTGAGAACCACACAATGCTAAACAGCAATAGGAGTATAAACAAATAATGTTTCATGATCTTTCATCCAGTAGATCGAGTCTCACTAGTCCCACACTCCCACTACAGCTCATCTTAATCTAGTTAATAATAATAATAGTATTGCAATTGCTGCTTTGAACGTAGAAAAGAAGAATGGTTAATTATGGGTTCGTAGGTTGTGCATGTGTTTGTCTATTATGGTTTATTCCGGTGGAGGTATGCGGCGGCGGTTCATCAAAATATTTGTGTACTTTTTCAGGCGGCTGTTCATCAAAATAATTGTCTACTTTTTCAATTTAATTTTTAACTATCGACCTATGTTTAAAATCTATTCAAATCCATTGAAATCCATATGACTCTTTGAAATAGAATTCCCATATAAATCTCATGCAATCTATAGAATTCCAATAAAATACATAGGTACTACAATCCTATAAAATCCTGTAAAATCTATGTTGGGGACACCCCCGTAGTGTAACTGATAGAGATATTTCATAATAATATTTTAAATTATCTACATCATCAGTATCTCTTGTACTTTATTAAAAGGGGAAAATAATTTAAATACTCCAAACTTTAATGACGTGTGCGATAAGTACTCCAAACTTGCATATGTAATATATTTATATACCCTCATTTTTTTTTAATAAAAAGTGATTTTCGCAACATGATGTGAGTTTTAGTTTGGAGTCGTCGTCTACCGAAGGCGCGGTTAGTGAAGACATGAGAGAAGCTAGACGAAGCTGATGGCGGAGGTGCAAGATCCTACTGCGATGCTCGATTGCGACGAAGCTGCAACTCGTGAGAGGGTGAGAGTTTCCTTTCTTTTGGTCGAGATAGCTCTCAAGCTCTGCCATCTGCAATGGAATGGACCGGACCGAACCGGACCGGTATAAACCGGTCCGGACCGGACCGGTATAAACCGGTCCGGACCGGTATAAACCGGTCCGGACCGGACCGGTATAAACCGGTCCGGTATAAACCGGTCCGGACCGGACCGGTATAAATCGGTCCGGGTTTCGGTCCTTAGTTTTGTAAAATTCCGGGTTCCGGTCCGGTCTGGGTCAAACCCGGAAAAAACAGGTTCGGACCGGAATGGACCGGTAACCTATTTTCCTGTAAAATATATACTTGGTTCTGTATCATTAGTAATTATGTTTATGACTTATTTTTGTCTTTTATTATATAAATGAATATATACGGAGTGTATATTTGGTGTCTAATTATTTCCTAAGTTGTTTATTTATTTATGTGATTTTTCTACTTTTTATTTGTTTCTTTATTTGCAGGTGCACATGTAGTTTATACGTAGTATATTTTTGGACTTAATTTAGTTTTTATTACTTTATAATAGATTTCGGATTTTAATATACACAAAAGATTGTAGTTTTAATTATTGTGGGAAACTAATTGTTACGATTGAATAGTTTTGATAACTATATTCCAAATATAATAAATGAGCTAGATAAACAATTATTTAGTCTATTTAGCATATCCGCACATAAAATATAATTTAGAACAACAACATCCAAGCCTTATTCCAAAAAAAATTTGGGACCAACTAAGAACACTCTAAGATAATATTTATTTTTTAAAACCGGGTCAATTAGGGTCAAAACCGGACCGGACCGGAAAATTCAGGTCCGGACCGGTCTGGACCGGTTAGATTTAGGCCCGGTCTTCGGTCCAAAGAAAATGATGATTCCGGTTCCGGTCCTAACCGGTTCCGGTCTGGTCCGGTTTTGGACCGGTGCACACCCCTAATTGCGAGAGTATTGCGATGAAGAAGGAAGAGATGCGTTCGCGGAAGAGGGCGAGAATTAAAAAAATCACTTTTCTGTCTTTTTCAAATGTGATCATATTTTTGTCCAATAGATGTTGAGAAGTAATATCCATGCCATTGTTTCTTAATTGTAACCCCATACTTCATTTTGAAATTACAATTTATAAACTGAAGTAAGAATCTTTCCATTGGAATAGGTAAGAAGTGCATATCTTTTAAAATGCATGTGCATAAAGAATTGATACACATTTTTTCTAAAAAATTTGCAACATGCGATTTTATATTAAATGTGCAGCAACAAATGAATGCACGTCCACTATATTCGAAGTATCGTAATTGAATTGGTAATTTCTATAGATAGATGCACTTTTATTTGAATTTTATGCAACTTTAATTCCATTAATTTTTCAACCATATTTTTAGTTTCCAAATAAAAGATACTTCATAGTTCAGATCACCCATTTTAAATTCTTCAGTCCATTTACGAACTTGAAACAGTAAG